TTAGTAAACACAATAGCAACATAGCGACAGTAATCAAAATTATCCTCCGTTCAATGCCCAGCCAAGACGGAAACACAAGGCGAATGCAAAAGCTCTCGCCGATGCCCCCCTGAGGCCTCACTCACTGGAGGCCAAGTATGCGTCCATGCCCTGATGGTCAGGAGTTCAAAACCAGTTTGAGCAACGAGAGAGACTCGTTCTACGTAAGAATAATCCAACTCATAAATAAAATAAGCTGGCATGGGGCGCATGCGCTGTAAGTCGCTGCTACTAGGGAGGTGAAGGCAGGAGGATTGCTTGAGCCCAGGAGTTGAGTTTGTGTGAGCGGGCTGATGCCACGGGCACTCCACTCTAGCCTGGGCGACAATGTGAACGTCTGGTCTGCAAAAAAAAAAATTATCTTGGCCTAACCTCATTTCCTACATGATATCACCTAAAAACCTCTTCACTCGGGTTTGTTCTTACTTATCATTCCTTGGCATTTATTCAGACCATAGATAGTGCCAAGCACTATTCTAGCTGCTAAGGAAGACATCGGGGAACCCAGACCTATGCAAGAAACCATATCCAAAGAGTTTAGCAGGAGAGAAAAAAATTTTAAGTTGGGCTTCAGAAGTAAAAACTTTCGTGCTTCAAAGGATACCATCAAGTGAGTAAAAAGGATAACCCACAGAACAGAAGAAAATAATTGTGAATCATATCTGGGAAGGGATTTATATTTAGAATACATAACAAATTCTTACAACTCAATAATAAAAAGACAATCCAATTTTTAAAGTGGGCAAAGGGTCTGAATACATATTTCTCTGAAGATATACAAATGGCCAATTAGCATATGAAAAGATGTCCAACATCTTTATCAGATCATTATCATGCAAATGAAAATCAAAATGATTAATGAGATATCGTGTCACATCCACTAGAATGGTTAGCATTAAAAGGCCAAATAAGTGCTGGTGAGAATGTAGAGAAATTGGAACCCTCATGTACTACTACTGATGGGAATTCAAAATGGGACATCCACTTTGTAAAAAAGTCTGGCAATTCCTCAAAAAGCTAAACACAGAGTAACTGTAGGACCCAGAAATTACATTCCTAGGTATACTCAAAAGAAATGAAAACAGACATTCACACAAAACAGTGTACATAAAGGTTCACAGCTGCATTATTCATAATAGCTAAAACGTGGAACAATCCAAATGTCCATCGGCTGACGAATGGGGAAGCAAAACGAGGTACATCCGTACGATAGTGTTCAGCCATGGGAAGGAAGCATTGATAAGTGATATAACATGGGTGAGCCTTGACAACATCATGCTAAGTGTATGGAGCTGTCCCAGTAGACCATATGTTATATGATGCCATTTGTATAAAATGTTGAAAGCAAGCAAATCTACAGAGATAGAAAGTAGATTTGTGGTTGCCCAGAGCTGGGCAGGCAATGGGAGGAAACAGGAGGTGACTACTAAAGGTACAATGCCTCTCTTCAAGGTGATGAAAATGTTCTCAAATTGATTGCAGGGACGGTTGCACAATTATGTGAACACAATGAAAACCATCGGGTTGTACGGTCTGCGGACTGTATCTCAGTAAAGCAGTTTTTTCAAAAAAGCAGGCAGAGCCTTGGAAGACAAAGGTCAGTGGCAATGACGACTCTATTTCACAGGGGACGCTGCAATCTAAAGCCTGGTGTCACACGGAGGCTAGTTGAAGCTGGAACAAGAAGGCAGAGGAGCTCTCTGCCTAGATGAGCTCGAAACACAGGCTCTGAATAGAGAGCTGTAAGAAAGAATCAACAGTTTTTATCTTGTAGTGACAGGAAATAACAAGGGTTCTTCTCGTTCAGGTCTAAGGGGAAATCACAAACCCAGACCCTGTCCAGCTGTTGGGAAGCAGGCGGCGACACAGTGAAGTCCTTGTGACAGAAGGTCCCCGTGTGGGAAGGGTGTCACATGGGATCTGGGGAAGGGTCAGGTGGGCAGCAGAGTAGAGGCCCCAAGCAAAAAGGACTCACAATCTCAAGTCAGCGCAGGAGCTGACCGACACCATAAATAGCAATCCTGTGTGGACAGAAATGCAACAAGTCTCTCCTGTTTCAATTCGCAAGAAAAAAAAAAAAAAAGATTAGAAACTAGCCTTATAAGTGGTTACCAAAGGCTGGGGGGGGTGGGGGATTTGAGAGATATTGGTCAGAGGACACAAAATTTCAGTTCAACAGGAAGAATAAGTTTTAGAGACCTATTTGACCTCAGTAGGGGCCTAGGAGTGAATTTTTCTTCCTTTTTCAGGCCTCTGTCTACACTAGTGACAGGGTTGGGTGCTGGAGTCAGTCGGCATGGGGCCAGGCTCTCGGTGGCAATGGTTCTAGACTCCTCTATCTGTGTCAGCTCCTTCCCTCTCACTCTCCCTGTTCACAGCACAGGTTCTAGCTTCATAGAGCCACTTGGCAGATTCACTTCCCCCAGCATTCCTTGCGCATCGACTGCATGAAATGCACCGTGCTAGGTACTAGGGGTGAACAGAGAACCACGGAGTCCGGGTCACACACTTGGGGCAGGTGGAAACAGACAGACAGGTACACAAGGCCTGGCACAAAGCTGTGTGGGAGGGACGTGACAATCAGGTGTGCAGTTTACAGAAATGAAGGGGCAATCAGTGCTGAGAAAAACAGGAAAAGTGAGGCTCAGAAGACTGTCTATCATAAGGATGGATTAGAGATGACGCCAGTGGCCTCCTATTGCAATGGGAATAGCTGCCCCTTTTACTCTTTCTAGCAGATATTTGGACTCACAATGCTCGGGATCCTTCCCGTCCCAACTGCACCAAGAGTGACTGTGGGGAAACACTGGCTCACCCTCGTTCAGTGACATGGAAGACAAAGTCATCACCAGAGAAAGTCATCACCATGTGGGAGGTGACAGATTCCGCAGGCTCAGGGATGAGTCCTCCAGGAACCCAGTCCCAACGGTGGCCCCTTGCTCTGTGACCTTGGACAAGTTCATTATTAGCCTTTCTGAGTCTCGGTTTCCTCCCCTGTATGATCAGAATCGTCATCACAATAGAAAAACGGATAGTAACAACCTAAGCGGATCATTGAGAGGATTAAATGAGACAATATATGTGCTGCTAACACAGTGCTTGACACCAACAAACACTATAACTAAAAGCCAAATAAAAATCTTCAGTAAGCTAGGCCCTTGTATCTCCAAATTTCCCCACATTTATTGGTTTATAAATCAGACTCCCCTGGCTCAACTCCCCGAAGAAAGCAAGGAGGTGTCTCTTATTTCTCTTTCTGTGGCCAGCCCCAGCATTGTGCCTTGTGCACATGGTACGGGCTCATGGGGTTTGAACACTGAATATATGTAGGAAAGGGTATTTCACTAACAAAGGAGATGAGTTTCTCAGGTTAACCATAGGAATCAGGAAGCCACAACCGTCCGGTTTTCAAACAGACTATGACAGAAAGCCACCCAAGGGTGAATCTGGCAAGTTCATAAATTCCACTCCAACAAGCAGCAGGGTACACCCTTTTCACTCCCCAAGCTCATTTCTTTTTTTCCCTCTGCAAGTCAGTAGAACAAGGTCATGCAACAACCTATATTTTTCTCTCCCAGACCTAATAAGCTTGAATTTTAAACTGTCAGTCTTACAATTTCCCATTTTCTTCTATCTCCTTCTGTAATTTAGGTCTTGACCCTGATTTTAATTACAGACCAGTGCATTAGCTGTCCTGGCAAGCTGATCACAGTTCTGTGCACTCAGAAAGAGTATGTCAGGAGCTACTTGGGGAACATGGACAGCTGAAGGCAAGGGTATTAGTTCCAGCTCGATGTGACCAGCATTTTGAATATCAAGGAAAAAGCCTATTATGCGCTGTATTGTGCCCCCCCCGTCCAAATTCATATGTTGAAGTCCTAACCCCCAGTACCTCAGGATATGACTGTATTTAGCTTTAAAGAGGTAGTTAATTTAAAATGATGGGCCAGATGCAGCGATTACAGGTGACTCACACCTGTAATCCTAGCACTCTGGGAGGCTAAGGCAGAGGATTGCTTGAGGTCAGGAGTTTGAGACCAGCCTGAGCAAGAGCAAGACTCCGTCTCTATCAAAAATAGAAAAATTATCTGTGTGTCATGGCACCCGCCTGTAGTCCCAGCTACTCAGGAGGCTGAGGTAGGAGGATTGCTTGAGCCCAGAAGTTTGAGGCTGCAGTGAGCTACGATGATGCCACTGTAGTCTACTCTGGGCAACAGAGTGAGACTCTGTCTCAAAAAAAAGAAAAAAAGAAAAGACTTCATTAGGGTGGGTCCTAATCCAACATGACTGCTATCTTTACAAGAGAAGATTATGACACAGACAGGTTTGGGGGGAAGGCCAAGTGAGGACACAAGTAGAAGATGATATCTACAAGCCAAGGAGAGAGGCCTCAGAAGAAATCAATCCTGCTGACACTTTGGTCTCAGATTTGAAGCCTCCAGAATTGTAAGAAAGGAAATTCCCAGTCTTTGGCACTGTGTTATGGCAGTGCTAGCAAACTAATACAAAGCCCATTCTCAGAGTTAGGAAAACCAAATCCAACCAACCTATTGGTAGTAGAAAGAAACTAGGGACCAGGCACAGTGGCTCACGCCTGTAATCCTAGCATTCTGGAAGGCCAGGGCAGGCGGATCATTTGAGCTCAGGAGTTTGAGACCAGCCTGGGCCAAGAGTGAGACCCCGTCTCCACCAAAAATAGAAAAAATTAGCTGGGCATGGTGGCACATGCCTGTAGTGCCACTCTGGAGGCTGAGGCAGAAGGATCGTTGAGCCTAGGAGTTTGAGATTGCTGTGAGCTAGGCTGACGCCACGGCACTCACTCTAGCCTGGGCAACAGAGTGAGACTGTCTCAAAAAAAAAAATTAAGAAACTAGGGAAAAGGGAAGAAACTTTCCCATTTCTAAGTCCCAAGTGCTGCTCAGCAAAATGAACCCAATGTATTTTTCACCCCTGGGTCTTACCACATTTTCTGGCAGCTTGTGTCCAGGAAGATATTTTACATTTTCATGGTCATTATTTATGATGTCTGTCAGTTTTCTCCCATTAACCGTTTCTTCAAAGACCCACATCTTGACCGTAGAGGAAAACTTCTGAAGTTTCTTGACATTATTACCAATTATTTTTGCAACAGCTGAACCCCTACAAAAGAAACACAGAAAAGAAAAAAATTGAACTCACTTGGGCAGAAGGAAAAAAAGCAATCGATCAAAATTCAGAAGACTTGCGTTTTGATTCTGATTCAAGCACTGAGCTTACTCAAGATGCCATAAGTCTCAGCCCCAAGCCATTTGCAACTTAGTTGTTTTCGCAGAAAACACCACCCCCTGTGATCAGGAAAGCCCCAGAATCTGGTACAATGTCAAAAAAAGCACCACTCCTTGAAAGTAGTAAGAATCAATATATCTCGGAAGACAGTGTCACAGGCAGAAGAGAAATCCACCTAAAAGCATGAAAATGACACAAGAGGGTTTTTGAAGGAGATTAAAATGTAGCTACTGTAAAATAAACCGCGTTCTGATGAACTGCAACAGGCCCAAGGCAGAATCACAATGGAAAGACAAGAACCCAAGTGGATTCCAGGAAAGGCGCAAAGTAAGAGCACCGGGCCCAGGTCACTGAGCTGTCTGCACCCCTCATCCCCCCACCAAGCAGGCACGCAGCCGACCTCTGGTGCCCAAGCTCCCTTTCTTCTGCATCTCTATTCCAGGAGCATGTTCAGGCGGTGGCTCAGTCTCCCACAGGCTTTCCTATAGGGGGGGGCGAACGCACCCTGACTTGTTAACACCCGTCCTCTGGACAGCAAAGCAGTCTGCAGCAAGTGGCTGCAGCACAGGTGGTGGGTGGGCCCGGGCATACCTGCACAGCTTACAGAATCCGCTGGCGGGGCCAGGGGTGGGCGTCTGATCCCAGCTGAGCCCGTCAGCTTCTCCCTCACCACTTCGAAGTGAAGCATAGCTTGTTTCTTAGACAACTTTACTGGTGCGAGGAGCAAATGAAAGAAGGTGGTTGCCCATTCAAGTGTTAGGGCACTTGTTGTTTCTTCTCACAATTATTATTCTCAAGACAGCTTGGAGAGATGGAGGAGGGGGTGATAACAGAAAAGAGGGCAGCCACGCAGATGCAGAAGAACATCTGAGATGTTTATGTTCACCCCCTGACAAATCTCAGCTATTCTAACCTGACTATAATTCACTTTCTATAATGTGCTTTAATAACCACAAAAATTCAAATAATTCTAACACAGATCACAATTATTTTCCCTTTCCTGAGATAGAATAGATAGACTAAAGTAGTGGTTCTCAGCTTTGCACACTGGAGTTACCTGGGAGATTTAAAACTCCTGAGTCCCAGGCTACACCCCAGACCAATGAAACTGGCACCTCTGCGTGGGGTCAGGCAACCCAGTGACTAGACGCACAGCCAGGGCTGAGACCCACTGCTCTGCACAAGGAGAGACAACGTTGATGCCTCCTCCAGCAAGAAAGAATAGCTGTAAATATCAAGGCTCCGTGGCTGCACCTTCGAAATTCTTATTCTATGCCAGCAGGGCAGCTTATTAGATAAATGCCCATTAATCCACTTCTCCTCCTGACACTGTGTAGAAAGGAGGCACCTCCCTACGATCACTCTCACCTTTATTCTAATCTTGGAAATAGCTGCTCACATACTCACAGGGAGATGAGGCTCTGGCTCACAGTGTGCCCTGGCATCAAGTACTGTACACGCACACAAGGTCAGAGGGAACAAGCGTGATTCTGGGGGACTGAGCATCACCAACCGATGGGAACTATAAGACACTAGGAATCCGAATCTAGTAAATCAAGTGGGAAAATAAATCAGAGCCAAGAGGCCTCCTCCCCAGCTCTTCCTGGAATGCACTTGCTTCTCCCGTTAACAGCTGCTTCCTAAGGAAGCCAAGCATTTGCAACCAGACGCAAACCTGTAGTATTTGCTGAAATGAGTTAAGGACATTTAAGTGAACATTGGAACATAAGAACTAAGCCATTCTGGAAGGCCAAGGCGGGCGGATTGCTCCAGGTGAGTTCAAAACCAGCCTGAGCAAGAGTGAGACCCCATCTCTACTATAAATAGAAAGAAATTAAGTGGCCAACTAAAAAATATATATATCAAAAATTAGCTGGGCCATGGTGGCGCATGCCTGTAGTCCAGCTACTCGGGAGGCTGAGGCAGGAGGATGCTTGAGCCCAGGAGTTGAGGTTGCTGTGAGCTAGGCTGACGCCAGGCACTTACTCTAGCCTGGGCAACAAAGTGAGACTCTGTCTCAAAAAAAAAAAAAAAAAGAACTAAGCCCACCGGACCATGTCTGTACATCATTTAGAGTTCAATGGAGCTTAAAGTGACAGGACAAAAATAAGGAGAGGAAACTTCAGTTTTTACTCCTGTGGGTCATCAAGACTTCATCGTAGCTCCTTCCCTGGTTACATCAATAACTTCATTCACTCATTTATTTGTCATCAAATATTTACCCAATACCTACTGTGTATAATGCACTGGGCTAGATGCTGGTGATACAACAGAAGAAAAGCAATGTGTTCTTTGCTCTCTAAAAGCTTACCACCCACCCAGAGAGATGAACAAGGTAAAGGCATTTGAAATTGTATGTGCCATAAGAGGTGGAGGAAAGTGGACATGTGGTTAGAAGGGTAAACTGTGGCAGACTTCAACACAGAGGACCCAGCTGCAATCCATGCTGATCCATGAGAAGGCTCCCACGTTCAACCTTCTGTTGAAAGAAACCATGAGAAGGCTGGCGCGGTGGCTACACGTGTAATCCTAGCACTCTGGGGAGCCGAGGCGGGCGGATTGCCGAGGTCAGGAGTTCGAAACCAGCCTGAGCAAGAGCGAGACCCTGTCTCTACTATAAATAGAAAGAAATTAATTGGCCAACTAATAGATATAGAAAAAATTAGCCTGGCATGGTGGTGCATGCCTGTAGTCCCAGCTACTCAGGAGCCTGAGGCAAGAGGGTCACTTGAGCCCAGGAGTTTGAGGTTGCCGTGAGCTAGGCTGACGCCACGGCACTCACTCTAGCCTGGGCAACAAAGCGAGACTCTGTCTCAAAAAGAAAGAACCATGATGGACAGACCCCAGCCAGGGTGCAGGAAGAAGACAAAGGGATGGTGTTGAGAAAGACTGTCCTCCTGCTGAAAAGCAAAAAAGGCTTCTTAAATCAGGGCTGTAATCCTAGCACTCTGGGAGGCCAAGGCAGGATGACCACTTGAGGTCAGTAGTTCGAGACCAGCCTGAGCAACAGCAAGACCCCTGTCTCTACAAAAACTAGAAAAATCAGCCAGGCGTGGTGGCACACACCTGTAGTCTCAGCTACTCAAGAGCCTGAGGCAGAAGGATCCATTAAGCCCAGGAATTTGAAGTTGCAGTAAGCTCTGATGATGCCACTGCACTGTACTCAAGGTGACAGACTGAGACTCTGTCTCAAAAAAAAAAAAAAATCAGGACTAGGAAAAGCAGATACAGTAGAGCTTCCCACCCAATACTCAGCTAGCTGCGAACACATGAGTGAGCCCAGCCAACCCAAGAAGTCCCCAGCTGATCTGTAGATTCATTATAAGCAATAATAAATGCCCGTTATTTTAAGTAGGTAAGTTGGAGAAGGGTGGGCTGTTCCACAGCAACAGCTGATGGATGCACCAAACACAGCATATCTGAGGCAACTAGAGGTAACTCCAAGTAATTCTGGGCCAAGCTGCTGGATCTGCCACTCAGGAACTGGCAAAGGGGACGAGGGAGGCAGGTGGTCAGGGTTAAAGTAAGGACTGTGGTAGTAAATTCAAGGATGAACACAGAAAGGAGAGGAACAAAAAAATCCCAGTGCCTTAAGGCTTCATCTTGTTCTTTCTAAATAACTTACACAATAATTTTTTTTTTTTTTTGAAACCGGGACTTAAAACGGTATATTTTGGGTTTTTTTAACCTCTTAAATGGCACTACATGCATTTGTTACAAGTGTTACCTCTTCTGACCAATTGAAAGGAGCAGCTTCACTATCCTTGTGGATTCAAGAGAGTAACAGCAGCGTTTTGGAGGAATCTGAATGTTCTGAAAGCACCAGAATCTACTTGGAAGTAACATACCCTGTTGTAAAAAAATGTGACTGGCCAGCAGAGGGCCAGTCCAAAAACATGCATAGATATATTAGAACTGAGCTTACAAGTGCTGACTACAGTCCACAAAGGTGGTCTGTGTGTGAACCTGTCCTGGCTGGGGTCCCACGGCCACACTGGTGGAGCCCTCCACGTTTCGGCCGGTTACAGTGACACTGTACAAGCACAGTCAGGCACAGATCTTTCCGTTGCTAGGGCTGGTGTGACAGCCCTTTCCACACCTGGCCCAGCTCATCCATCTACGAATGATGGGTGGGGCAGATAACCTTCGAGGTCCCTTCTAGGTCTCTGATCCAATCCGGTGTTTCCCGAAGTGAGGAATGGGTGCTGGGTACCCCAAATGGCTGATGCTACCCACACACATGGCACCAGATGACTCCGTTCAACTCCTGCAGTCCTGAGGGAGTGCCGAATGTCTCATTTGAGTGCCAGTGTGTTCTTACCATCTCACCAGCATGTGCTAATTCCCCTTCTTCACAAAGTATGAAGAGGCCTCAGCCTCTGAGCCTTGGCAGAGGGTAGTATCTGGCAAGGATTTTATAACACTGTTTTGTTTGCATTCTACTGGGTTTTGTTGTTGTTGCCTTCAATTTGCGGTATTTAACATAGTGACACAAAGTTTTCTTTTACAGTAGACTTTCTACAGGTATGAAGTAGATAGAGCCAAAACCATAAGGGTGCTGCCTGCCTGATGTCTGCTTAATTCTATCCAAACCCTTCATCTTGCAGATGAAGGCACATGAGACTGAGAGGCCCTCTGACCGTGCACCCCACAACCAGGTATGGCCTCCACCTGGGCCTGACCTTGGGAGGGGAGAAGGGAGCCTTCTAGGCAGAAAGGAAGCCTTGGAGGAAAGGTCAGAAACTGGTGGTGGCATAAGTAGGGGCTCAGGTCTGCTGACGGCCAGTCACGGATGTATACAATCACATCTCCCACGAAATCATTAAGTATCTTAATAAAGTCTCAACCTAAAATAATTGAAAAGTCAAAATCTA